GTAGTAAAGCTATCTGATTAGGTCAAGAGGGTCAGAGATGGAGCTTTCCAAGCCATAAAAAGGTCACTTCCTGTTGTGAGGTGGCGGGGGCTTTGATGATGTCATATGACCACATAGTATGGTCCGGCATGCAACATAAATTACTCATACCAAGTTTGGTGTATTTTAGCTTTTCTATGTGAAATTTACAGCTTTCTGAAACTAGACACGGCTTCAGCGACGGGGGACAAAAAAGAATGTGAGGCGGTTTGTTCTAAGCTGACACAAGTGTTATATTTAACAAGCTGGAAACGATTTGTTTCAATCTAAAAACTTAAAAAGCGGGACTTACGCAGACCCAGGGATGCTTGAGGGCCTGATCAGCTGTGATCCGTTTGGCAGGGTTAATGGTTAACATCTGATTGATCAGATTCTTGGCTTCAGGGGTCACTGTGTCCCACTCTGGAGAAGGAAACTAAGAAAATAAAAACAAGAAAACATGTCAAAAATGGATCATCACTGTTTAAAAAAGGCATGTTCAACATGCATAATAAAAATAACTGGTTGCTTACTGCTTTCTCTTTGGTATTCATAATTAATTTAACACTGATATCCTGCAAATTATTTGGAATTGTAATATAGTGATTTTTTTCATGATTGTACACTTAAAGGGTTTTTGTAAAATGTCTTTAAAAATTACTGTATTTTTTGTGTTTACCTTTACTAATTTAGGAATATTCGTAATGTGTCTACATTGTAGTGTTGTGTCACTTGGGTTTCCCATCCTTCTAAAGTTAAATCAAAGACCAGCAAACATGTTCATGATCAAAGATGTGAGTTAAACATTTACTCCAGATATTTCAGTTGTCTGTCACAGACAAAAAAAGTGAGGTTATCTACACTACAGTGATGATGTTCAGGAAGTGAACGTTGTTATGAGTGCTCGTGTCATACACACTCATTACATGTGGCTGCTTCAAACTATGAAAAAATATATTAAGAATAGCAAAATCTTATCTCTCAGAAGATGACAAGTTCTAATAAAAATCTGTTTTGTCTTTGCTGTTGTGAGCAAACTACGTCCTAATATTTTAACTGGTTTCTTTCACAGCAGCTCACAAATACGTACGATGAAAGGAAACCACACAGGAGTATAAGAATTTACTTACGTCATATGCACCGGCTTTGATTTGTTGGTACAGTTTGTGTTGGTCCTCGTCCCAAAAGGGAGGATATCCCACCAACAAAATGTAGAGGATCACACCTAAAACAAAAACACACAGGAATACATGATAAATGTAGATTTATGCATTAAAAACATGTAAATAATTGTGTTACTCGTGGATTAAATGTCCAGCAGTGGGACCCTGAAGAGTCCTTGATGGATGACTCTTTAGATGAGTAAAGGTTAAACCATGTCCCTCAAACATTTTTTTTTCTTTTATGGGAAATAAGGCAACAAATTGTTACTAAAAACAAGATATAAATGTAATTCTGAATTAACTGAAAGGAAGGAAAACCCAACAGGCAGTCTTTTAGTTTTAAATGTTAAAAATATACTGGAAAAAATGTAGCTCCATCATTGGTTTTAGTAGCTTTATGATTACAGGTAGAGACAGAACTGCTTTTGGAGAAGAAAATCAAACAGGTTAATGTGAAATTTATGGGAAAAAAACATGTGTAAACTTGCTACATACTCTGCAAAAACTAAAGCAGCATTATTTGCATTAAAGTGCCTGAGACATCAATTTTTTGTAATAAACATGAATGCATTTTTGGAAAGAAAACATTGATAACATATTGCAAAACAAATTTCACACCACTGATATGAAGGGCTGGGACATTTGCATGTGAAGAAACAGGAAGTGATGTCAAAGGGGAACGTCTACATGTGAACATAGCGTTGTTACAACAGCTAACAACAGAGGCTGTGGAGAAGAATCTGATGTTTCTTTAGATTATTTTGAGTTTCTATCAAAGAGAGATGAAGAAGAGTTAAAGTTTAAATAATGTTGTTTTAATAAACAAAGACCAGAGAGTTTATTTTATTAAAGAGTTCCCTTTCGATGTCACTTCCTGTTTCACTTTGGCTGAGCCAAATCCAAAAAAAAAAAAATAGGCCAGTTATGAGACAAAATGTGTAAAATAATGTGTACTAATCCAATTTCCCAAAAAAAATATTTTCTTTGATTTTTTGTATTTGAAGGACAGCATGTCACAGGCACTTTAATCACAAAGTGGCAAATATCTATGAACAATTTGTGTCTAAACAGCTGCTTTACTGACCACATGCCCAAATGTCCACTGGCTTGCCATATGGGTCCTTTCTCAGCACCTCTGGAGACAAATATCCTGGAGTTCCAGCAAAACCTGTCAAAACACAAATGTGCTTATGAGGAATTTGTTATAAATGATATGAAAATAGCAAAATCGGATATATGGTAAGTATTTTGGGTGAAAAGCACTTTAAATATCAAAGTGCACCATCACCTTTTTTTCCCCTCATCTCCCTCTTGTTGTGCTTTTAAACAATATTTTAACTAGATACAAGAGTTTTATACAATTCAGTTCATTAGTGTTTTGGATCTCAAGCTAATATTCACAAGGACTTTAACCTATGAGTGTCATTTCATATGCAGCAGTTCTACGAGAATTCCCAACACAGAAAAAAAATCCTTTAATCCTTCAAGATAAATGTCAATTTATTATTATAATGCACACTCAAACATATGATCTGATTTATTTTTTTATCTCCAATAAACTGTAGCTGCCTATAGTGTTAATGCAGCCACATTTTCCTCATGCAGTGATACAGTTTAAATGGTTTAAACAGTTCCAGTTCTTACCAAACCATGCCTGTTGGTCTCCCTGCACCTCTATGGCTAAACCGAAATCTGCCAGCTTCACAGCTGCTCCCTTCATCTTACTGGCGAGGAGAAGGTTCTCTGGCTGCAACACACACAGGCAGATCATTTGTGAGGGTGAAACACTTTGATGCAGAGTGGCGCCATGATTCCTTTAGGAGTTAGTTTTTTATGTAAAATACAAGAATTGTAAATAAATGACAATGTCAATTTGCAAAAAAAAATGAAGGCCAGTCAAAGTATTTTTTTTTTGAGAAAAGCAAGTTTTTTATCAGACAATTGGCCACAATTACGTGCAACACAATGAGACGATACATTTAATTTAAAGCAATATACGTAAACCCTTTTTCCAGAAATGCACCCATCTGTCTGCATGACTGAATGAGCTGTTGGAGGATGATGACATCTACAAGCAGTAATGAAGCATGATGCAGTGGAGTCAAGTTGCAAAAGGCTTCTCTCTGTCAGCAGCATTTAAGACAACATTTTGACCTCCTTTTGATCACTCTGTCATGTAAAACATCCTGGACCTTACTTCCTTTCCACTTTAGTGTGACAGGAGCAAAAGAGAAAATATGTATGTGAAATAAGTCTGGTTCTCGGTTATAGTTGGACCGTCTTTCAATAACAAGGCCTAAAAGCTTGCAGGTTTTCTTTGGTCATATTGGTTCAAAGCCAGCTCTGTAAAGTATTAAAAGGTTCAATCAGATGTAACACATTGTAGCAGGAGGTTCAATAGTCCTCAATGTAAACACAATAAATATTGTAGAGATAAATAATTAATCAACTAATTTAAATGATGAAAAGTCATTTTATACTTCCTGCTTTCATCACCAGACTGTACAAAGAGCTGCAGATCAGAACCACAATCCTGTTAAATGAACAGGTAGTTGTTCAAGCAAATAAAATTAATTGCATCCGTTTGTTTTTTGTGTCAAAATTGGAGTAATTTACAGAAATTCTTCTAGTATATTTGAAAGCAATACAAGAAGATGAGTAAAACATCTGTCAGATCTGTCATATTCCTGCTGCAGGACGAGGGGGTCACACTGTCAAAGCTGGTCAACAGTGTGCAAATATGACATTTCTCGCAGCTGCTCTCATAAAAATTATGCAGATGTAAATTAAATGCAATTACAGATGCTTTTATTTAGCACCTTAACACATGCACTTGGCCATTTTTAGACAGTTTATTTTCATGTGTCAGCTGTTGTCATACGCCCCTTCTTC